TATGCTAAACTACCAAGTTAAATTTCGTCATGAAAGTTGTTTGCAGGACTTGTCATACTGTGTGTTCGACCATCGATTTCGATTAAGTCTACCAACAGGTTGGTACAGGTGACAGTCTTAGGAGGAAGGTTATAATGATAGTGAAAATAGGTGGCGCCAACCACACTCTTAACCTTCGTTGGGGTCAATAAGACCAAACGTTACCCGGCGTTGGCCGCTTTCTCTAATACAAACCAGAATCACCGCCTAACTTGGTCTCAAGTGATAATCGACTTTGCGCGGGTGCTAAGGCACTATTTTACCCTCACTCATATCCAGTAGATGTCAAGACAGGCTCAATAAGGCCGAGACGGATACGGCCACTCCTACTCCTACTACTAATAGCTAACAATGTACCTGCGCGTTAGTATTACTGGTACTAACACTGATACTACCATTTGTCAGAGGTGACGCTGATTAAAGCCAACGCTGGAGCCCATTCCCCCATGATATAAACAAGGAGTGTGTATCTGGATTTAAACTATTCCGAGTAAGTATATGTTTGGGGCCCTGAGCACAACAGAGCTCGTCTTGGTTCCCATCCTTCCAATTCTATCCATCAGGCTGTGTCCGTTTATACAAGGTTCGGACTACGATACTGTTGCTAGAAGTACGTGTCACGTAATATACACATGCTCCCAACGGGCAGACGGTAATATTACCTTATGCTGTAATTTAACAAACTGACACCACAGGTGCTATCTTACAAGGCTTACTGCGTCTAGTCTAAAAGACCAGAATACTAGTTAATCAGAAGTAACGAGGAGTGTGCACATATAAACCCTCCTAACATGCAACACCAAATCCAACTTTTGCAGGCTCAACGATTCAAAAAGACCTCAAGCAGGCGAAATTCTGTATTTAACCAAAATCATCAAGGAACTTCACCGTTCGATCAATTTAGATGGGTGCAGCGCGGTTTTTGGACGGGAAGAGTACCTATAAAACCCAACAATTTCAGGGTCAAAAATGTAGGGCTCCGCCCAATTAACAGTTCTGAGCAGTATGCCGAAAGATTAACCCGGCAAAAAAGGGAGATTGCAAATTTCGCAACAAGAAATTAACAATAGAACAAAGAAATAAAAATCAAAGAAACAAGGCAAAATCAATAAAATAGTAAAAGCCGCGAGTCAATTGACTAGAAGCCGGACTGAGATCAACTGGGACTAAAGTTGGAAAAGTTCTGAATTCTTGGAGCTGTAGTCCACAAGCTCAGCCGTCAGAAGTTCAACCAACTGGATGGCCAGAGTGCCAATGCCAGAGGCATGTTCCAGATTGGCCAGAATAACAACTGCAATTGGAGGCAGACCGGAGGCGCAAGTGTTGGTATCAAAGAGAGGCCGGCGACCAGATTCAAGGGACGGCATCGAGGATTCCTCCGAAGGACGGACAGGAAGACTGATGAGAAGGGCCGTGGTCCCACCCACAGCTCCACCCAAGTGACCGACAAACAGTCGATCATAGGAGGGGCATTCGCGATCAACCGGCGCACCTGATCGACTAAAAAAGACAGAGCTCCTAGTAAAAATGCTGCAGTACAAGGACTTCTCATTGTGTGAGACGCTAACTGATCTAATCCGTCAGCATGGCCTTGATAAACGGAATGTCAACCAGGATCTTTGGACGATCTCTCTCTCACACACACACGTATACAAGCCGTGAAACAGTGGCGTCTGGAGGGGGCAGCGAGGCGTCCTGATACACCTGATCCGCCTGCCATCGTCAGTTCAACATATCGCAACTAAAAGCCGGGAAGACTCGACTGCCGGATAAAGTGAACGCTGGGTTTTAGTTGGTATGAATAGACCTAATTTCAGCCCATTGGAAATGATCAGTAACTTTGCGATTACAACTTCAGTGTTCAGTATTCCTGAAAGCAGCGAACGTGGGGGGGGGGTTGATTACAAGAAGTTATTTGGTAAATGTGTCTATATTGGAGCCCAGGTCCTGATAAAATGGAGACCAGAAGATGGGGATGCGATCACGGGAACAAGAAGTTTATTGGCCTAAAATTTCAGCTTCTCGTTCAAATCTATCATCATCGGCCGGGTTATTTGGCCCAAAGATCCTCTGCCACGGTAGGAAACCTCTGGAGTCGGTTACCAGATTTGGTGCAGTTGTGGGCAAAGCAACTGCGTCGGAGAAACCACAAAATTACTCCAGACGCGAATGGCCGAGTACACAGCAGTGGTGAGGGGACAAAATCACTAACTCTCTGGCTGAAGCTCACTCGACTGGACCCGACCAAATTTTCAAGTCTCACAAGACCGAAATCTTCGCAAGAGGTGATAACCGCGTATGCCGCAAACTGTTCGAGCGCGGTTCTCAGACCCATAGTCCATTAACAAAGATAACAATCTCCCGTTCTCATAATCTGTACTGAAACTTTGCTTGAGCAGGGGACTGAGTCA